GGGGGGGCCCCCGGGGGGGGGGGGCCCCCAGGAGGGTCCTGAGGGGGCCCCCCGAAGTGGGAGTTTGCTGCTGCGGGGGCCCCATGCATGCATCCAGGGCTGCTGCTTCCAGAGTTGTTAAAGATGAAAGAGACCCACTTTCTAGCCACAAAGAAGGAGTTGTTGCTCTTGTAGTTGCTTCCGAAAGGGGGGCCCCCGTGGAGGGGGGCCCCTGTGTCAGTGGGCGCTTCAGGGTCAGCGCTGGCAGCAGCACTGCGCCGCAAGCAGCAGCAGCAGCAGCAGCAACTGCAGCAGCAGCAGCAGCGGAAGCAGCAGCAGACGCAGCAGACGCAAAACAGAGGCGGCAGCGCGAGAGAAAGCGGCAGCAGCAACAGCAGCAGCAATAGCAAAAGCAACGGCAACAGCAACAACAACAGCAGCAGCAGCAGCAGCAGCAGCAGCAGCAGCAGCAGCAGCAGCAGCAGCAGCCCACCTGCTTCGCAGCCTGTTTCTTCTCCCTCTTCTGTAATGCTTTCCTTAAGGGCCCCCGTGGGACTCAAAGTCTCTTCGGGGGGCCCCCCAAACACTTTGCATGCAGCAAGGGGGCCCCCTGGTTCGAGGGGCCCCTCAGGAGGGTACCCAGCTGCTTCAGTACCCTGGAGGGTCCACCGGGCCCCGTGCGCTGCTGCTGTGTCTGCTGCAGCAGCAGCAGCAGCAGCAGCAGCAGCAGCAGCAGCAGCAGCAGGGGGCCCCTGCCTTGCCAGCTCACTGTACTGCTTGAACCTGGCAGCAGCACATGCTGGGTGGTTGCAGCTGAGGGGCCCCAGGGGGGCCCCCGGGGGGCCCCCGTGTCCGCCGGGGGCCCCCCTGGAGGGGCCCCCCGGGGCCCCCGGGGCCCCCGGGGCCCCCAGGGGGGCCCCCAGGGGGGCCCCCAGAGGGGCCCCCGGGGGCCCCAGGAGGGTGTGGGGCCCCAAGACGAAAGGCTTGGGTTTTTCGATTTGTTTTGAAAATCCAAAATCCACAATTTTAATATGACCATCACTGTTGATTAAAATGTTTTCTGGTTTTAAGTCTCTGTAAATAACCCCGAGGCCTGGAGAAAGAAAAGAAAAAAGAGAAAAGAAATAAAGAATAAAGAAATAAATAAATAAAAGAATAAAAGAAATTAATAAATAAAAGAATAAAAGGGATTAATAAATTGAAGAATAGAAGAAATAAAGAAGTGAAGAAGTGAAAGAAATAAAAGAAGCAAATGCAGGGAAAGGAATGATGGAAAAGAAATAAGAGATATAAAAGAAATAGTGGAAAAGAAATAAATAAAAGAGAAATAAAAGAAAAAGAAATAAATGAAAAAGAAATAAATGAAAAGAAATAAAAGAAAAAGAAATAAAAGAAAAAGAAATAAAAGAAAAAGAAATAAAAGAAAAAGAAATAACAAAAAATGAAATAACAGAAAATGAAATTAAATGAAAGGAATTTGAAGAGAGTGGAAGGGAAAAGAAATAAAAAATAAAAATAATAAAAAAAGAAATAAAAAGATTAAAGAAACAAAGAACTGTTAAAAGGGAACAAAAGATTTGAAAAATAAAAAAGAAAAAGAAAATAAAAAGAAAGTAAAAAAAGAAAATAAAAAAAGAAAATAAAAGAGAAACAAAAAGAAGAACAAAAGGAAATAAAAAGAATTAAAAAGAAAATAAAAAGAAAATAAAAATAAAAATAAATAAAAATAAAAACAATTTGAAGTGCTTACTGTGTATGTACAGCAGAGCCACCAAAACCTCTCCGGCATAAAATCGAGCAGCTTCCAAACGCAGAGAGCCTTTGCGACTGCATGCAAAATTAGGGTTTAGGGTTTAGGGTTTAGGGTTTAGGGTTTAGGGTTTGCGGTTTAGGGTTTGCGGTTTAGGGTTTAGGGTTTGGGGTTTGGGTTTAGGATTTAGGGTTTAGGGTTAAGCGGCTCGGGTTTGGGGTTAAGGGGGTTTGGGGTTTAGGGTTTTGTGTTTAGGGTTTGGCGTTTAGAGTTTAGGGTTTAGGGTTTAGGGTTTAGGGTTTCGAGGCTGAGGTTTGGCGGTTAGTATTCGGGTGAAACCCTAAACCCTAAACGCTAAACCCTAAGCGCTAAACCCTAAACCCTAAACCCTAAACCCTAAACCCTAAACCCTAAACCCTGACTCACTTGAGAAGAGAAAAGAGTTCCCCCCCTCCAACGAATTCCATCAGCAAGAACAAGTGCGTCCTCGTCTGGAACGTCGTGAGCCTGAGCGCCAAACCCTAAACCCTAAACCCTAAACCCTAAACCCTAAACGCTAAACCCTAAACCCTAAACCCTAAACCCTTGACCGTGCAGGTCTGCAAGCAGCGCCGCTGCCCAGTTGGAGCCCTTTCGGGGCCGATGCATGTCACTAACTACACCAGAGGGCTTAGAGTTTAGGGTTTAGGGTTTAGGGTTTAGGGTTTAGGGTTTAGGGTTTAGTTTCATAGGGTTTAGGGTCTAAAGCCTAGGGTTTCTCGTCTAGGGTTAAGTGACTTTCAGGGTTTAAAAGCGAGGCGAAGGACCCTGTGGGCAGCGCCCAACGCCCAGGGCTTAGGGTTTAGGGTTTAGGGTTTAGGGTTTAGGGTTTAGGGTTTAGCGCACAGGTTGACGACGAGAGGATGGTTCATGTTTCTCAGAATCTTCTTTTCATTTAAAACATGAGTTTGCTGCTTCGTCTGCAGAATTTGATACTTCCTTAATCTCTTCACAGCATAAGGAATGCTTTCCAGGGCCCCCCGCAGTTCGCAGCAGCAGGGGGCCCCCTCCTGGGGCCCCTCTAGTTCCTGGGGGCCCCCCAGGGGGCCCCCCAGGGGGCCCCCCAGCGGGTCCCTCAGGGGGCCCCCCAGGGGGCCCCCCAGGGGGCCCCCCAGGGGGCACCCCAGGGGGGCCCCCAGGGGGGCCCCCAGGCTCCGCCCAAGGGGCACTCGGGAAGGCGAACCCAGGGGGGCCCCCAGGGGGGCCCCCAGGGGGCCCCCAAGGGAAGAAGGGGAGAGGGGGGGGCCCCCAAGGGGGCCCCCAAGGGGACAGGCCCTGCAGCGCTGAGCCTCTCGGGGCTTTAAACGAGTTATGAAGACTCGGCCTAATGTGCCCGTGCCTGAGAGAAACAAAACCCAGAAATTAGGGTTTAGGGTTTAGGGTTTAGGGTTTAGGGTTTAGGGTTTAGGGTTTAGGGTTTAGGTATTCGCAACCCATAGCCAGCCCCAGAAGGCCCTCTGGGGCCCCCCAGGGGCCCCCCACAAAATCTCCTGGGGCCTCTTTGGGGCCCCCTAGGGGCCCCCCTTGAGATGTCATGGGGCCCCTGTGGGGGGCCCTAAGAACCCTCCAGGGGCCCCCTGGGGGCCCCCCAGGCGATGTCGTGGGCCCCCTCTGGGGCCCCCTAGGGGCCCCCCGGGGGCCCCCTGGGGGCCCCTCGCGGGGGCTTTTAGGGCCCCGTAGGGGCCCCCTAGGGACCCTCTACGGGCCCCCTAGGGGCCCCCAGGGGCCCCCAGGGGCCCCCTAGGGGCCCCCAAGGAACCCTTTTTCCGAGGAGTTTCTTACCTACTGTTCTTATGAATTTGAAGTCTTGGGGCTCCCATGAGGAAGCAGCAAAGAAGGCCTTTTGTTCCTCAATTGAGGGGGCCCCCAAGTACCCTATTTGGGTGTTGGGGGCCCCCCAGGGGGCCCCCCAGCGGCGCTGCTGCTGCAGCAAGCAGCAGGTGTAAACCCCGGGGGCCGAGGGGCCCCATGTGGGGCCCCCCAGAAGCCCGCTGCTGTACCCTTCAAAGGGGGGGCCCCTGAGGCCCTCTTCTGGCTTGGGGGGCCCCCCCAAGTGCTTGGGGGCCCCCTCAGGGTCCTCTTGGGAACTGTACCTTCCCTTGGGGGCCCCCGGGGGCCCCTTCTTGGCAGGGGGCCCCTGCCGCGAGGAAGCCGTTAGGGCCACTGGGGTAAACTGCATCAAATGGGGGGCCCCCCCCTCAGCAAAAAGGGTATCTTTGGGGGCCCCCTGGCAGTCGGGGGCCCCCGAGGCCTTTCTCATGGGGGTACCGCTGCCGCTGGCTGCTGCTGAGGGCCCGCTCTTTTGTCCGCTGCTGCTGCTGCTGCTGCTGCTCCCGTTGCTGCTGCTGCTGCTGTTGCTGCTGTTGCTGCTGTTGCTGCTTCGCTCGCTCGAGGGGCCCCCCAGGGGCCCCGCAAGCGACAAAACCCCCCTGGGGGCCTCGGGGGCCTCGGGGGCCTCGGGGGCCCCCCGGGGCCCCAGGCAGTCCCTGCTGCTGGGCCCTGGGGCCCCTGCTGCCAGGCCCAGCAGGGGGCCCCCAGGGCCCCCGGGGGGCCCCTCGGGGGGCCCCCCGGGGGGCCCCCCGGGGGGCCCCCTGGGACTCTCTAATGCTGATTTGCTTTTGCTGCGCTGCACTGCCACTTTAAAGGCCCTTTTGAGCCAGCTTATGGGGCGGCTGCCCCTTGGGGGGCCCCCAGGGGCCCCCAGGCTGGGGGGCCCCCCTTGGGGGCCCCCCTCGCCCGTGGGGGCCCCCGGGAGAGAAGCTGAAAGGGTCAAGGGGGCCCCCTGGCTCCCCTCGCAAAAATCAGTACCCCATGCCAGCACTGCGGCTGCTTTGGGGGGCCCCTCGGGGGCCCCCTTCATGAGGTACCCTCCCGGGGGGCCCCCCGGGGGCCCTTCCGGGGGCCCCCTTGAGGACCCGGCAGGGGCCCTTTTGGGGGCCCCCTCGAGGGGCCCCTCGGGGGGCCCCTCGAGGGGCCCCTCGGGGGGCCCCTCGAGGGGCCTCGAGACCTTAAAAGCGAACTTAAAAGGGACAGGGGGGCCCCCTGCTGCAGCAGCAGGGGGGCCCCCAGGGGGCCCCTGTGGGCCCTTTCTGCGGGGCAGCAGCGGGGCCTCTTTTTTCGGGCGAAAAACTTTAGAAGCACGCTTCGAAAAGGTGCTGCTGCTGCTGCTGCTGCTGCTGCTGCTGCTGCTGCTGCTGCTGCTGCTGCTGCTGCTGCTTGTGCTGCTGCTGCTGCTGCGGGGGCTCGGGTGGTGGTGCAGCAAAAACGAAAAGATGTGCTTGCTGCGAGCAGCAGAAACCCTTGCTGCTGCAGGGGGCCCCCCGGGGGCCCCCTGCTGCAGCAGGGGAAGGGAACGGGTCTTGCTGTTGCTGTTGGTCATTGCTGCTGCTGGGGGCCCCCAAGTCTCCTTTTGCTGCTGCTGCTAAAAAGAGACAGAAGCAAATAAATCTTTTAAGAAACCAGGGGCCCCTGGGCACAGCAAGCAGGGGCCCCCCTTCCTCTCATTTCGCTGCTGCTGGCACTCCCGCTGCTGCTGCTGCTGCTGCTGCTGCTGCCCCGCTGCAGCTGCTGCTGCCGCCCGCGCTGCAGCTGCTGCTGCTGCTGCTGCTGCTGGTTCTGCTGCTGCTGCTGCTGCTGTTGGTTCTGCTGCTGCTGCTCTTGGTGGCCTTGCGGTGTACGTACACCTCAGTGGGGCTGCAGGCGGCGAAACGCCGGAGCTGCGGATACACCCCAATCTGAAGAATGGGCCCCTCGGTGCAGCAGCAGCAGCAGCAGCAGCAGCAGCAGCAGCAGCAGCAGCAAAAAAGGCTTCATGGGACTCTGGAAATACCCTGGAAATGAAACAAAGCAGCAAAGAAAATAGAAGTAGGAAGCAGAGAGAGCAACCAGTCGGCGGCACACGGGAGATATAGCCTATCGGCAGGGTTTAGGGTTTAGGGTTTAGGGTTTAGGGTTTAGGGTTTAGGGTTTAGAGTTTGGAGTTTAGCGCTCGGGACTTGGGGCTCGGGATTTAGGGCTTGGGCTCTTTTCTTCTTACTCTTTTCTGTGGTGTATAGAAGGGTTTAGGGTTTAGGGTTTAGGGTTTGTGGCTGCGCCGAGAGCCTTTCCTAGCTGCAGGGCGGGAAGAAATGGAAAAGAAGAAATAAAACATTATTGGAAATGAAAAAAGCAAATTAATTATCCTTAGAGCACCAGTTGGGTCTAAAAAATCTGAAAATGGCGAAGAAAAATAGGAAAATATCAGCAAACAGCAGCAGCAGCAGCAGCAGCAGCAGCAGCAGCAGCAGCAAGACAGAGTCACTTGGGCCTGCTGCAGCAGAGGACGAAGATAGGGAGTTAAAGGCCGCCGAATTAATAATTACTTTTATTTTTCTTTTTTATTTTTATTTTTAATTTGCATTTCTTCTTTATTTCAATGACTTTCGGCCTTTCTTGAGGTGTACGTACACCCGAGCGGCTCCAGTGTGTCTCGGCCGCGATAGATAGAGTTCGGGTGTATAGACAGCTCGGCTGCATGCAGAGAAAGCTGAAAAGGCTTTTATTTATTTCATTTTATTTAATTTAATTTATTTTGTTTTATTTATTCTTTTTAAATGCTTTTTATTTCCCCTTTTGACTGCCTCGCGACGCGCACACCTGCAGAGACACCGCAGAAGCTTATTAATCTCCCAGTTTAATTAAATAACAAGATAAGATGAAATAAAATAAAATAAAATATAATAAAATAAAAAAAAATAAAATAAAATAAAATAAAATAAAACAAAATAAAATAAAATAAATAAACAAATAAACAAAAGCAAATATCAATCCTTCCAGCTCCTCCAACTGTCCGCTGCTCAGCTGTACATACACCTCATCTAGCTCAAGCCTTTTCTCTCCTTCTCATTGCGGCTGCCTGTCCGGCTAGCTGCTGCAGCTAGCTGCAGCAGATAGCTGCAGCAGCTAGCTGCAGCAGCTAGCTGCAGCACATAGCTGTTGCCAGCCGCAGCTAGCTGCAGCTAGCTGTAGCTAGCTAGTTATAGCTAGCTACTTGTAGCTAGCTAGTTGTAGCTAGCTAGTTGTAACTAGCTAGTCGTAGCTAGCTAGCTGTAGCTAGCTAGCTGCGGCTGCAGCCGGCCAAACAGCAGACTGCAAATGGAAACGGCTAGCTGCAGCCAGCTGCAGCTAGCTGCGCAGCAGCCCACGCCCAGCCCCAGCTAGCCACACGGCTAGCTAGGCAGCTAGCCACACAGCTAGCCACACGGCTGGCCACACAGCTAGGCAAGCGGCTAGCCACACAGCTAGCCACACAGCTAGCTAAGCAGCCAGCCAAGCACCTAGCTAAGCAGCTAGCCACAGTAAGCAGCTAGCTAAGCAGCTAGCCACGCAGCTAGCTAAGCAGCTAGCCACGCAGCTAGCCACAAAGCTAGCCAGGCAGTCGGCCAGGCAGCTGGCCGCACAGCTAGCTGTGCAGCTAGCTGCACAGCTAGCTGCACAGCTGGCTACACAGCTAGATGCACAGCTAGCTACACAGCTAGCTACACAGCTAGCTGCACAGCTTGCTACACAGCCAGCTGCACAGCTAGCTGCACAGCTAGCTACACAGCTAGCTACACAGCTAGCTGCACAGCTAGCTACACAGCCAGCTGCACAGCTAGCTGCACAGCTAGTTACGCAGCTAGCTACACAGCTTGCAACGCAGCTAGCTACACAGCTAGCCATGTACAGTCCTTTTGGAAATTTATTCTAAAGAGCTAGAAAGGAGGAGACCCAGGTGGGGTTTAGGGTTTAGGGTTTAGGGTTTGGAGGCTAGGTGGGGGCGCGCAGCATTCAGACGAACTTTTTCATTGGAGATTGCTGCTGCTGCACTGCAGCAGCAGCAGCAGCAGCAGCAGCAGCAGCAGCAGGATGCTGCGCCAGCCCACGTGTCCTCTAATTGCCTAAATGAATTTGTTGCTGCTCTCTTCTTTTTTTTAAATTAATTCTCAAAAAGAGAAAATAAAATTAAAAATATAAATATAAATAAAAACAAAATGGAAACAAAAATAAATAAAGCTTAATTGGCAGTTGTCTTCTGCTGCAGTTGCTGCTGGCTGAGGTGTACGTACACCTCAACGCATGCGCCGAGACCCCACAAAAGACCGCAGCGAAAAAGTAGCAGCAAAGCCCTCGGGGTGTCTAGACACCTGAGCCCTCACAGGCGTTGCTGCTGCTGCTGCTGCTGCTGCTGCTGCTGCTGCTGCTGGTGGCGGTGCTGCCGGCGCTGCTGCTGCTGCTGCTGCTGCTGCTGCTGCTGCAGTTGTTGCTGCTGCTGCTGCTCTTCTACTCAGAGACAGTCCCTCTAAACGAAGCTCCAGATCCTGCAGCCCCCCGCCCGCCCCCTTACCCTTTTCAGGAGTACCCCCCCGGGGGGCCCCCCCGTACCCTGGGGGCCCCCTCAGGGGGCCCCCAGGACCCACTTGGGGGCCCCCATGCTGCTCGGGGGGGCCCCCAACTGGGTCCTGGGGGCCCCCGGGGTCCCCTCCCTCTGGGTGGGGCCCCCTAGCCAGCTCCAGGGGAGCCTCCTGGGGGCCCCCCTGGGGGGCCCCCAGGGGGGCCCCCTGGGGGGCCCCCTGGGGGGCCCCCTGGGGGGCCCCCTGGGGGGCCCCCTGGGGGGCCCCCTGGGGGCCCCCTTGGGTATTTATTTGTTGTTCTTCCGGGTCATCTGGGGTTGAATTGGCAGCAGAATCTGCCAAAAGAGAACTCAAAGAAAAACGAAAAGCTTCAGACCCTCGGGGGTGAGGGTAAGAAGCAGTGAAGAGGGAACACTCCGACAGACAGGGGCCCCACGAGCTGCGGCGGGGGGCCCCCTGCAGAATTGCTGTTGAGGGAGTTGGGTTTGTTCTCGAGGTCTTCGAGGCCCGTGGAGTCAGTGATGAGCTGAGCCTGCGGGCAAGTCGATACGCTAAACCCTAAACCCTAAACCCTAAACCCTAAACCCTTGTCTTGAACCCTAAACCCTAAACCCTAAACCCTAAACCCTAAACCCTAAACCCACCTTCTGCAGCCGGCTGAAGATTGCCCTTTCGTCGCTCTCCGGCATTGCGCGCCGGTGGAATAGCGCAGCGAACCTCAGCTGCAAACACCCCAAACCCTAAACCCTAAACCCTAAACCCTAAACCCTAAACCCTTAATCTGTAAGTCGTCAGCAGAAGGAAAGAAAGCAAGAAGAAGCAGCAGCAAGTTGAGATCTAAACCCTCAAAGCTCATAACGTGATAAGAAGGTATCTTCAAACTGGAGGGCAAACGAAAGCCTGAATCCTAAACCCTAAACCCTAAACCCTAAACCCTAAACCCTAAACCCTTAGGCCTACCAGCAACTGCCGCTTTTCTCCAAGGGCCCTCAGCAGCTTCCTTGCATTGTGCGCTTGCATCACCATCTGAAGAAAACCCTAACCCCTCAACCATAACCCTAAACCCTAAACCCTAAACCCTGAAGCTTAAACCCTAAACCCTAAACCCTAAACCCTAAACCCTACCTGAGCCTCCAACTTCCTGAGTTGCTTCCTGTTGGCGATAAGAGCTGCTTCTTTGGCTTCGCTTAAAACGCCTGTCTCCTTTGCAGCAGCAAAACAGTCATCCTGGCAGCAGCAGCAGCAGCAGCAGCAGCAGCAGCAACAGCAGCAGCAGCAGCAGCAACAGCAGCAGCAACAGCAGCAGCAACAGCAGCAGCAACAGCAGCAGCAATGCGCGCAGTACATACAACCCAGCAAACCTCGGGCCTCAGATAAACTAATAAGCAGCCAGCTGCCCAAATGCTGCTGTTGCTGCTGTTGCTGCTGTTGCTGCTGTTGCTGCTGCTGCTGCTGCTGCCGCTGCTACATTTGCTGCTGCTGCTGCGGCTGCTTTTGCTGCTGCTGCTGCAAGTTACCTGTAGCTGCTGCAGCGTTCTCGGCGGCCGGTTCCAGTCTATTTCTTCGTCAACACACCACAAACCCTAAACCCTAAACCCTAAACCCTAAACCCTTAACCCTTCACCCTCGGCCCCCGTCTACCTTGGCCCCACCGGGATAACAGGGACTAAACCCTAAACCCTAAACCCTAAACCCTAAACCCTAAACCCTAAACCCTAGACATTAAACCCACCCTCGATATGAGCGCGGGGCCCTTGGGGCGGCGGGGCCTCAGCAGAGAACGCCTGCAGCAGTTTTGCTGCTGTTGTTAAATCCCGCAGCTGCCTGCAGCAGCAGCAGCAGCAGCAGCAGCAGCAGCAGCAGCAGCAAAGCTGTTGGCTTTTGCTGCACCCTTTCTTGTCAACAACACAGTGGGCAGAGGACAAGCCAGTCTTCTGCAGCAACAGCAGCTGCTGTTGCTGCTGTTGCTGCTGCCGCTGTTGCTGCTGCTGCTGTTGCTGCTGCTGCTGCTGCTGCTGCTGCTGCTGCTCACTTACTTGCTTGTGGCGCTGTGTAACGACAGCCAGTGCCTCTTCCACTGCTCTGCGCGTCTCTGAAGGGAAAAACGGAAACCCTAAACCCCAAACCCTAAACCCTAAACCCTAAACCCCAAACCCTAAACCCTAAACCCTAGGGTCCAGAGGCAGCAGAAGAAGCAACAAACTAGAAGCAAGAAGAACCCAAGAAGTGACGAGGCCCCCGAGGGAAAAGGGAAGAGCCATAAGGACACGAAAGCAGCAGCAGCAGCAGCAGCAGCAGCAGCAGCAGCAGCAGCAGGACGCACGGCGAGAACCTGCTGCGCTGCAGCAGCAGCAGTTTGCTGCTGCTGCACTCTGTCTCTCTCTCTCTTGAGTTTGTCTCTTTGTCTCTCTATGCTTTTCTCAACAGCCAAACGGAGGCTGTGGCTTTGCTGCTGCAGCTGCTGCGCAGCAACTGCAGCAGCAACTTCAGCTGTACAGACACCGCAGGGCCAGCAGCAGCAGCAGCAGCAGCAGCAGCAGGGGCTTAGGCACGACAGCGACCGTCTCTCGACAGCAGCAAGCGGCTGCCGCTGTTGCTGCTGCTTCTGCTGCTGCTGTTGCTGCTGTTGCTGCTTCTGCTGCTGCTGTTGCTGCTGTTGCTGCTGCCGCTGCTGCTGCTGCTGCTGCTGCTGCTGCTGCGCCTACCGAGAGTCTCCAGGGCCTCTGCCTTTTTGTTTGAAATTTCTTTTTTTTCTTTTTGCTCCCAAAGAGAAAGTCTCCATGCGTCCAGTGTTGCTGCTAAGGCCTGCAGCAAGACAAACGCCCCACAGCAGCAGCAGCAGCTCAGCAGCAGCAGCAGCAGCAGCAGCAGCTCAGCTGCAGCAGCAGCTCAGCAGCAGCAGCTCAGCAGCAGCAGCTCAGAAGCAGCAGCTAAACAGCAGCAGCTCCACAGCAGCAGCAGGGGGAGCCCCCTAGAAGGGCGAAAGGCAGGCAAATTAATTAGCTTAAGCAGAGCAGTGGCTAATGCTGCTGCTGCTGCTGCTGCTGCTGCTGCTGCTGCTGCTGCTGGGCTAGGAAGAACAAGGACAGAGGGGGCCCCTCACCTGCTGGAGGAAGTTTGCTGCTGCTGTAATGGCACCTCCAGCAGCAGCAGCAGCAGCAGCAGGGTCTTCGACCGCCTGCGTCGCTGCTGCTGCTGCTGCTGCTGCGTCCCTCCTGAGAGCTGCTGCTGCTGCTGCTGCTGCTGCGCCTGCTGCAGCAGCAGCACGTGCTGCAGGCTCGAGACGCACAGCAGCTAAAGCAGCAGCAGCAGCATGAATCTCCACAGGGGACTGCAGCAGCGGGGGGCCCCCCACGAGAGCAGCAGCAGCTGCAGCAGCAAAACAAAAAGACTTTTAAGACTTTATTTCTTTTTCTTTTAAAGGAGCAGCAGCAAATTAAAATAAATTAAATTAAACGAAATTTAAAAAGACAAAAACCCACTTTGACGCAGGTCTTGCAGGGTACGAACAGGTACTAAAGTGGGTCCCGAATTTGTACCCTCTGGGGGGCCCCCTGGGGGGCCCCCTGGGGGGCCCCCAGGGGGGCCCCCTGGGGGGCCCCCAGAGGGTTCAGGGGGGCCCCCCGGGGCTTCTGGAGGCCCCTTGTCTGTCCAGGGCAGGCGCAGCACGGGGGGCCCCCTTGCTGCTTCTAGGGCCCCTAGTGTTTCCTTTGCTGCTGCAGCAGCAGCAGCAGCAAGGGCCCGGCGGGGCCCCTGCTGCAGGGGGCCCCCCAGCCCTTCAGTACCCTCCAGGGGGCCCCCCATAGGGTACAGAGCGTTTAAGTACACCCTTGACACTGTCAGGGGGCCCCTGGGGGGCCCCCCGGGGCCCCCGCTGCTGTCTTTGCCAGAGGGGGCCCCCTCTGCTGCTGCTGCAGGCAGCAGCGCTGCAGCAAGACCCTCTAATGCAGGAAGGGGGCCCCTAGGGAGGCCTTGAGGGGGGCCCCCCGCAGGGGCAGCAGCAGCGGGGGCCCCGGGGGCCCCTGAGGCTGGGGGCCCCCGCTGCTGCTGCGGGGGCCCCTGTGCTGCTTCTGCTGCTGCTGCTGCTGCGGGGGGCCCCTCCAGGTGCAGCACAGCAGCAGCAGCAGGAGTGTCCGGGGGGGCCCTTAGGGCCCCCAACTCATGAGTGGGGGCCCTTAAGGATTGTCTGTCCCCTTCTCGCCATTGCCTGCACAAGTTTAGTGACGGGGGCCCCCCGGGGGCCCCCATGGGGGGCCCCCCGGGGGCCCCCATGGGGGGCCCCCCAGGGGGCCCCTCCGGGGGGCACAAGCCTGGGAGTCCTTTGCCTCCCGCTGCTGCTGCTGCTGCTGTTGCTGCTGCTGCTGCTGTTGCTACTGTTGCTGCTGCTGCTGCGCTGGGAGTCCTGTCTTGTGCAAAGCCACGAGGGATGCGGGGGGCCCCCGGCAAGGCCGCGGGGGGCCCCCAGGGTACTGGTTGAGGGGGCCCCATGGGGGCCCCCAGGGGGGCCCCCATGGGGGCCCCCATGGGTCTTCGGACTGTGGCCCCTCTGGCTTCTATTCTGTGGGGCTGGCGGTGCAGCTGCTGCAGCTGCTGCAGCTGCTGCTGCTGCATCTGCTGCTGCTGCAGCATCTGCTGCTGCTGCAGCTGCTGCTGCGCGTTTCTCTGGGGGGTACAGACTGGGCCCTGCAGAGAGGGGCCCCCCTGGGGGCCCCCCTGGGGGCCCCCCTGGGGGCCCCCCTGGGGGCCCCCCTGGGGGCCCCCCTGGGGGCCCCCCCTAACATCTCTTAAAGAGGGTCTTCTTCTTAATTCTGTCAAAGGGGACAAAGAGGGTACAGTTCTTTCGCTGCTGCTTCTCTGGAGGGGCCCCCGCAGTCCCAGGGGGCCCCCGCTGCTGCTAAGGGGGCCCCCAGCAGCAGCAGGGGGCCCCCCTGCTGCTAGGGGGGCCCCCCAAAGGGCCTCTTCTTGGGGCTGCAGCAAATAGCGGCGGGGGTCCCCGGGGGCCCCAAAACTGTGCCCAGACCCAGACAGCAGGGGCCCCCCTGGGGGGCCCCCCTGGGGGCCCCCCACGGGGCCCCCAAGGGGGGCCCCCAGGGGGCCCCCGGGGGGGCCCCCCAGGGGGGCCCCCAGGGGGCCCCCCGCAGCTAAAGAGGGTAATCGACTTGCGGGATATGAAGAAGTGGAAAGAGAGGGGTGCCTAAGAAAGAGTAAAATTAAAAATAAAATTAAATAAAATAAAATAAAATTAAATTAAATTAAATTAAATTACATTAAATTAAATAAATAAAATAAGTAATATAAAATAAGTAAAATAAAAATGAAATAAATAAAATGGAACATGAAGAAATAAGGAAATGGAAAGCTGCAAAAGTAAAAGGAGATAAATTAAAAGAGGGTAATTGAAGAGAAAATAATTTAAAAATGAAAAGATAAAACCTTTAAATAAAAATAAATAAATAAATAAATAAATAAAAATAAATAAATAAGAAATAAATAAATAAATAAATAAATATATAAATGAGGAGACAAAAGTGAAAGAAAATAAAAGAAAAAGGAAATAAAAAGAATGAGACAAAAAGAAACAAAAAGAAATAAAAAAAATAAAAACAAAAAAAGAAAATTAAAAAAAAAGATTAAAAATAAAATAAAAACAAAATAAAAGTAAATACCTAAAAGGATGAGTTGAGTTATGAGTTTGAGTCAAAGACTTCGGCTGAAAAGGGGGGCCCCCAGTACCCTCGGGGGGCCCCCGAGAAGCTGTCTTGAGGGCTGCTGCTCTTGTAAGGGTTTGCTGCTGCTGCTGCTGCTGCTGCTGCTGCTGCTGCTAGCTGCACTGCAGCAGGAGATGCGGAGGCCAGCAGGGCCCTGGCCTGATTGAGGGGCACCAAGACACAGGTATCTTCTGCTGCTGCTGCTGCTGCTGCTGCTGTTGCTGCTGCTGCTGCTGCTGCTGCTGCTGGAGGGTGGGGCCCCAGCCCCAGCCCCCGAAGCGAAGAAGAAGAAGAACTCACTGAGCTGCCTTCAGGGGGGGCCCCCAGGAGGGGGGCCCCCAAGGGGGGCCCCCCTGGGGGCCCCCCGGGGGGCCCCCCCTCCTTTCTGCTGCTGCTGCTGAGAGACAGGGGCCCCCAAGACCCTTCTAGGGGGGCCCCCAAGGGGCCCCCCAAGGGGGCCCCCAAGGGGCCCCCCAAGGGGCCCCCCAAGGGGGCCCCCAAGGGGGGCCCCCCTCTGCTGTCTTCTCTGCGGGCGCGCCTGGCGGAGGGTTTGGAGGAGGAGGGGCCCCTGGGGGCCCCTCTCTTCTTCTGCCGCTGCTGCTGCTGCTGCTGCTGCTGCTGCTGCTGCTGCTGCTGCTGCTGCTGCTGCTGCTGCTCAAGCAGAGTCAGCATTTCGTCAGCAGAATAGTCCGGGGGACTCCGATCTTTTAATCTTCTGCTGCGCCTGCGGCTGCTGCGGGGGGCCCCCTCATCGGGGGGCCCCCCTCTGCTGCTGTCTTCGGGGGGCCCCCCCGGGGGGCCCCTGGGGGCCCCCCCGAAGTACTCAGTTGGGGGCAAAGAAGAGGTGGAATCTGCTGCTGCTGCTGCTGCTGCTGCTGCAGCACGCCTCTCTTTGTGCTTGTCTTTGCGTTTGGGCTTGGGTAGCATTCTAGCGAGCCCCAAACCCTAAACCCTAAACCCTAAACCCTAAACCCTAGGGTTTGGGTAGCGCCGCAGGCGGCAGGCCGGCTTAGGGTTAGGGCTTAGGAGCTGGAGAAGTTTAAATTAAAAAAGAAAATAAAATTGAAAGAAGTGCTCAGTCGGCGACGCGCAGCCCTAAACCCTAAACCCTAAACCCTAAACCCTAAACCCTAAACCCTAAACCCTCGACGGGTGTGTCTGGGGTGGCGGCAGCGGCCCCTGCGCGCTGCAGAGCCCCCAGCCCTTCAAAAATGAATTAATTTAATTTATTTATTTAAATTAATTTAAATTAATTATTTAAAAAAGATAAAAAGACCGAAAACGGAGCAGCACCCCCAGGGGGTGTTGCTGGCCCCCGGGTGAGTACCAACCCACCCACCTCAAAAGCAGCAAATTTGCACGCAAAAAGCCGCAAAAAAAGCGAAAAAAGGAAATAAATAACAAATAATTGTTAAATAATTAATTAATAATTAATTTAAGACAAAAAAATGCAATTTAATCGATTAATTCCACGCAAATTGACCCTAGACACGGCCACCCCGTCTTTCTGCATTTTTCTGCGTTTCTCCCGCCTGCAAGTCCGATATTTGACCATTTAAGCGCTCAATTGATCAATTATTGAATCCAATTACAATTAAATGAATTAAATAATTCATTTAATTCAAAAAAACGCCAATTAATCGCCAAATTTGTGATTTTCACGCGGCTAACAGCTGCACAGCCAAACTCCTCAGCTTTTCTGTAGCACTCCAGCTCCAAAAGAAGTCCTTTTTGTGACTTTTTCTGTCTTTTTATGTTTCTAAAAGATATATTTATCTTCTTTTCAAACTCCTTGACAATCAGCGGACAATTTGAACCAAAATCCTCTCAAAAACCAGATCCATTGCACAAAACACCTTCAGGTGCAGTGGGGGCCCCCGGGGGCCCCCTCAGGGGCCCCCCTCGGGTCCCAGGGGCCCCAGGTACTTCCAGGGGGCCCCTGGGGGCCCTTCAAGGGCCCCCCTAGGGGCCCCGGGGGCCCCCAAGGGCCCGTCGGGGGCCCCAGGGTCTCATATACTCTATATAAAGGGGCCCCTTGGGGCCCCTTAAGGGCCCCTTTGGGGCCCCTTTGGGGCCCCGAGGGCCCCAGATACTATCAGCGGGGCCCCTGGGGGGCCCCCACGGGCTCTAGGGGCCTCCAAGTGGACCCGGGGGGCCCCTAGGGGGGCCCCAGTATACTATACAGGGGGCTCCCTAGGATCTATTATGGGGGCCCCTTGGGGGCCCCCCTAGGGCCCCCTGGGGCTTCCTGGACTCCAGCAAGGCCCCAGGGGCCCCCATAAGTGCTAGGGGGCCCCCACAGGGTTTTGGGGGCCCCCGGGGCCCCCTGAGGACCCAAGGGGCCCCACAGAATAACTCTGGGGGCCCCCTGGGGTCCCCCAATTGAAGTCTAAGTTGGGTTTGCTAAAGCTTAACAAGTGCCTAAAATAAGGTCTTAGGGGGCCCCCCTTGGGGGCCCCCTATGGGGGCCCCCCTTGGGGGCCCCCTATGGGGGCCCCCTAAGACCTTATTAGCTGCAGAAGGGCTTTATAGAAAACATCATCTTCCACTTTGGCAAATTCTATTACCGGCAGCAGATCTGCTGCTGCTCGATCGCTGCTGCAGCAGCAGCAGCAGCAGCAGCAACAGCTGCTGCTGCTGCTGCTAGTGCTTCTTGTGGACCTGTCACTTGTGCTGCTGCTGCTGCTGCTGCTGCTGCTGCTGCTGCTGCTGCTGGACCAAGTGTCAACTCTTTGATTGTAAGCTAAGACGAGTCTAAGGAGATTCCTGGCGATGATGAAAACTGCAGAAAAACAAAAGCACAGCAAACCCTGCTGCTGCTGCTGCTGCTGCTGCTGCTGCTGCGCTGCTGCTGCTGCTGCTGCTGCTGCTGCTGCTGCTGCTGCTCACTGGTTTGGTAGAAGTTGCTGTCGCTGTACCTCCACCCCTGGGGCCCCACGGAGTACCCCATGGCCAAGTTTAAAGCACTTTGGGGCCTCATTTCTTTTCTCAAAAAGTCCAAACAAACAAATCCATCATTTTCTTTTATTCCCAACTCTTTCCTTTCTTTCCAGCTCGGCACCATCCCCTCCAGCGCCTCAAAAGGGGTACTCCACAGCAGCGGGGGGGCCCCCAGGGGGCCTTCGGGGGCCCCCGGGGGGGCCCCCAGAGAGAACCCCCGCATTAGGGGCCTCTCTGGGGGGGCCCCCGGGGGGCCCCTGAAGGTCGAGCCAGGGGCTGTCCCTCTGCGGGCCGCCTCCCGGGGGGCCCCCCAGGGGGCCCCTGCAAAGCAGCGCTGCAGTGTTTGAGGGACTGCCCCTCGCGGCCTGAATTATGAATGCATGCAGTTGGCTCATTTGGCGGCCCCAGGACCCACTTAGGTCCACCCGCGAGTCCCAGGGGGGCCCCCGGGGGGCCCCCAGGGGGGCCCCCCGGGGGGCCCCCCCGGGGGCCCCAGCAGCAGCTGCTGCAGGGGCGCCTGAGGGGCCCCCTGGGGGCCCCCGGCTTAGCTGCTGCCTCAGGGGGCCCCCCTGGGGCCCCCCACCCCAGGGGGACCGTGGGGGGCCCCCCGGGGGGCCCCCGGGGGCCCCCGGGGGGCCCCCCGGGGGGCCCCCCGGGGGCCCTATGGCCTTGAGAAATGCCAAATTAATTGAACCCCCTCCGACATAAAGAAG